CACATTGGTTTCAAAGAGAGTTATAAAGACTTCCAGTCAAGATGGCATAAATAAAGATATGGATGGTGCTTTGTGATCTGGTTGTCAGTCATAAGTAATACAGAGTTTAGAGGTCATTAGTAAGTAACACTGAGGTCAGTAGTCTGCATCGCAGAGTTCAAGAGTCAGGAATATGTAATGTGGAGTTCAGAGATCAGTAATATGCAACTCAGGGGTAAGAAGTAACAGAGTTCAGAAATGATTTGTAAGTAAAGCAGGATTTAGACATTGGAAATATGCATTTCAGGGGGTCAGAAGTAAATTTACACACACTTTGCCATGTTAAGAGTGATCCGTGTTGGATTGCTCTTCAGAGGCCATTTCACAAGCAGTGAGAAGGTGTTATATCATCTCACTACCTGTTTTAAGCCCTTAAACCCTTGCAGCAACGAGCTGCAACTGCACACACAACATGGTTGTGGGCTGGTTGAAGGGTGCTCCCATTCAATTGAACGGGTTGCATTCAGCTGGTGGTACTGTCTGCCATAAGAGACAATGAGGATTCATTTTGTTGCAACATATTGCAAAGTGCAGCAGCACATGTACACTTCCATACCCTGGCTTTGCTTTATCAGAGGGAGTAGTGGGTGAGGGTGGTTTGTCTACTGCCCCCCAACTGCAAGTGTAAACTAGGACTTACTCCGGGTTCACTGGTTGTTAGTAATTAGCACAAAATTCAGAGGTTAGTAGTATGTAACACGGAGTTCAGAAGTCAGTAGTATGCAGCGCAGAGTGCAGGGTTCATTGCCCCACTCAATGGGGGTCGTCCTTCTCTTGTACACTGTATTCAAAGAAAGACATACCTTGGTCATGTTTTATTTATTGTACATCACGGGACACAGAGCAGGCCATAATAATGACTATGTGGGTTATATGCCACCTATAGGTGAATGGACACTGGCCGACCAAACAGGAAGTCTTCCCCCATATAACTCCTACACTGGAAGTACTCAGTTTTTCACCAGTCTCTTTAAGGTGGATGTTCACTAAACATGTGCTGCATATGCTCTGTGAAGCATACTGGGAGGTTCGGAACGATCCTACTGAGAGTCAAGTGTCTCAATCCCTTGATTGAGATCCATTTGAAAAGCTGTTAGCTAAAGTAGATGTTACCCGAGCCTCGCTGGATAAGGAAAAGAATCCTCTGAGTTTTGCCTGCCTGCCTGCTTTATGGCGCTGGACCCTGCATTTTCGAAATCCTGTGCAGTTTGATCTGACCAAGGCTCTTCCAGCAGGATGCTATACGGGTCCCTTTAAAAAAGGGGACAGAGTCCTTGAAAGTCTTTAGGAGTAGTCTGCTATGGTTGACAGCGAAGACATCCAGGGGGAGTACTTCTTTTTGCATGTAAACTGCCTGTAATATCTAATTTTGGCTGCTTGAGGGAGTCTGTTACCACGTGGGCACGCGCATGTGGTGGGAGCATGCAAGTGCAGCGGGGGTGCATGTGCAGTGGTAGCGGTAAGAGGAAGTCACCCATATTGTTTACATAGGATGCTGCCTGTTACATGTGAGCTGCTGCAGCCACTGCTACCGCTGCGGGACCCTTGAGGGATGGCCAGGGCACAGAGCAGGTAATTCTAAAGGGCACATGAGTACTTCCCTGGGAGTTTCAGGCAGGAGGGTTTTGTACATGCTACCTCCTTTTTTCAGTGGACAGCATTGGAGTGTGTTTCACTTTTAAGCAGTGCATGCTGTGTTTTGATTCAATTCTTACACGCTAGTTCTTGTAACGCTAGTGGAGGTAATATCATCCAGAAAGCGGCGTGGGGGAGGCACAGCAAAGGGTGACAATGTACCACCGCTAGGTACTGTGGAACCTAGCTGAAGTTCTACTGTGTTATCCTCGCCTGAAAGACCTGGGGCAACAGATCAATCTGAGCCGCTGCATTTATCCGGCATTGTGGCTACTACCGGTGCATCTGCTTCCGGGTATGTAACTAAGGAGGATCTTGCATCAGCCTTAGCAGGGCTAGAAGACTAGATTGCTGGGATGGTTACATTGGTGGCTCAGGGAGGTAAAAAGTGAGAGATCCTCATCTTTGGACCCACCAGTCCTTGAACAAGAGTGGTTGGAACCTGAAGATGTAGATGCGGTAGAGGTTGTTGAAGAGGGTCAGGCAATTGATTCTCTGTCAGAGGAATCACAGCCTAATGAGAAGCAGGGTGGTTCTGCTTCTTAATCACAGAGGTTATTAGTTAAGACCCTCATGGTCATGGTCCGGTCAGGTTTCAAGTTACCCCCCAGTGGGAGGCATCTGAGGTCTATTCTTCCTCTTTGGGCTTATTAAAGCCGCCTCAAAGTACTCAGGCATTTCCAGTGCATTCTCTTTTGGAGCAAGTTATGTATTCTGACTGGGAGCACCCAGTTTTTGTTTTGCCTTAAAGATTCTCCTTTCTGTATCCTATGGAGACGTTTGTTAGAAAGTGGGGCATGCCGAGGGTAGGAGCAGCTGTGTCTTTCCAGAATAAGCATTTAAATTGTCCTGTGGATAATGCCCAGATGTTTAAGGATCCAATGGATAAGAAATTAGATTCGCTCCTTAAGGCCTCTTTTTCTGAATGACCGTGTTAAACAGGTGGTTAAAAGACTATCTATCTTGGAGGAGGCTATGGTTGTGGATTTGGCAGATTTACCACAGGTCTTGTGTTTTGCAGTTGATGCCTTTTTAAGGATTCAATTCAGCAGATCTCTTGCATGGCCCTTCTGCTGGTACACATGCGCAGGATCTTGTGTGGCTAAAGAGTTTGGCGGCGGAACTACCATACAAAAGATTGTTGGCAGGTTTTTCCCTTCATGGAGAACATTTGTTTAGGGAGGACCTAGACAAGTATATCCAGAAAATCTCAGGGGGAAAAAGTACACTTTTACCCTTTAGAGAAAGTTTAAATGCCTGATCTTTAAGAGGCCAGGCACTTTGGTGCTGCTTCCAGTTGTCAAGCATTTTGCTGTACACAGGGCTTTGTGTATACGGGAAAATTTCAGGGCCAGAAGAAACCCTGGGTGCAAATACATGCCAGGTCAGATTCTAAGTCTGCTTCATGATGAAAGGGCACCCCCACTGATGCGGGTTGGGGGGAAGACTGTTGTGTTTTGCCTAGGACTTAGTCAGCAAAATGATCTTTGCATGGCCTGGATGTGGTTCGGGCAATAAGGGTCTTTTTGAGAATGATGGTGCAGATTAGGCTGATTCCTTGTTTATTTTACCAGAAGGTCCCAGGAGAGGACAAGCGGCATCCAAATCAACTATTTCTAAGTGGATTTGTCAGTTAATCATTCAAGCCTGTGGTTTAAAGAGCAAGGTTCCTTCCACCCTTTCGGGTGAAAGCACGCTCTACCAGGAGTGTGGGGGTATCTTGGGCTATCCGCCACCAGGTGTCAGTTGCTCAGGTGTGCAAGGCTGCTACATGGTCCTTGGTTCATACATTCACAAGGTTTTAACAGGTGTATGTCAGAGCCACAGAAGATACTGTCTTTGGCCGCAGTGTTTTACGTAGAGCTGAATAGCTCCTTTTTGGGGATGTTGGCGGTGGTTATTGTGATGTCACCCACCCCTCAAGGTTATTGCTATGGGACCTCCCACATTATTATGGCCTGCTCTGTGTCCTATGATGTATGATAAAGAAAATTGGATTTTTTTTCTATACACTTACCTGTCAAATCCATTTCTGTGTCATCACGGTGTACATCACGGGACACAGAGGTCCCTCCCTTTTTTCCTGGATTTTTATTGCTTGCTACAAAAACTGAGTACTTCCTGTGTAGGAGGGGTCATATGGGGGAGGACTTACTGTTTGGTCGGCCAATGTCGGTATATAACCCACATAGTCATTAATATGGCTTGCTCTGTGTCTCATGATGTACTCCTGGATTTATTTTTCTACATACTAATCTGTAAAATGCATAATTTTTTCGCTTCAGCTCCAAAAATCATTATTTCCACTTAAACCAGATATACAGCGAACTAAAAAATTTTGTTATGTATAATTAGAAATAAAGTTATTTGTAGCTGGTGAGGAAACGTGATGGTGGTATAGAATTCTTTGATTGCTGTGCAAAGGCAGCACTGTGGGGTGAGCTGTTGCATGGTGGGGGTCGGACACAATCTACCAGTCACCTGCCCACAATAGTCCAGTACATTTCAATTAAGGGGTTTCCGACCCCGGATCAGCTCATATTTTGGCTTCATATGTTTTGCATACAGTACAGTATGTTATGTAGAGAGCATATGCACTAAGCAATACCCTAATATCAGAAGAATAAAATCTCTTCATCACTGGTTCGCGCCTTAAGATTTTGTCACAACCCAGAATGGTGGATATCTCAAGGCAGCCAATGTGACGAGCAATAAAACAATTTTGCACAATGTGGCATGGTATATAAACTGTTCTAAAGTATGAGAAATTTTAGGCAGGATGTCACAAACTGGCAAATCGGAAATAAATTACCGTATTTTTCGCCGTATAAGACGCACCTGACCATAAGACGCACCTAGGTTTTAGTGGCAGAAAACAGGAATAAAAAATTCTGAACTAATGGACTGCAGACACAGTACAGGAGATGACCAGAGACTGCGGACAGCACAGGGATGACCAGAGACTGCGGACAGCACGGGGATGACCAGAGACTGCGGACAGCACGGGGATGACCAGAGACTGCGGACAGCACGGGGATGACCAGAGACTGCGGACAGCACGGGGATGACCAGAGACTGCGGACAGCACGGGGATGACCAGAGACTGGGACAGCACGGGGATGACCAGAGACTGCGGACAGTACAGATGACTGCTGACCTTTGGGGAAGTAGGGAGCGGGTACCTGAATTTGACAGGTACCCGCTCTTCCGCAGAGTTTTTGTTTGATCTTACCTGTTCCTCGATCCAGCCGCGCGCTGTCTTCTCGGCTTCTGTAATGGCGCTCGGCATGACAGCCGGGTGCCCGGTGCGCATGAGGGAGAAGCACTTGCGCTTTGTGATTGGTCCGGCGGCTTCTGGGATCTGTCATGTGTCCCAGGTACCGCCTTACCATTCACAAAAAGCACCGCTTCTCGCACATGCGCACTGGGCACCCGGCTGTCATGCCCAGTGCCCACACTACAGAAGCCGGGAAGACAGTACGCCGCTGGATAGAGGAACAGGTAAGGTCCAGCTGCAGAGCTGAGCGGCCGGCCCGGTATTCTGACACGGCCGCGGTGGAAATACCGGACCGGCCGCTCCATATTCGCCTTATAAGACGCACTGACATTTCCCCCCCAGTTTTGGGGAAGAAAAAGTGCGTCTTATACGGCGAAAAATACGGTAGATTTGCATAACCTGCTCATTAACTTTGCCTACTCTGCATATCTCCTTTCACCTAATATACAGTATGAAGGTTCTGAAGTATTCCTTCTGCATTTGTTTGGATACATAGGAAGGAAGCTTTGAAACCAGATCAAAGATTTCAGCAGGCATTTGTACATTTTCTTGAGTACTTTTGATCTCTGACTTTTAGTCAGCTCAGAAACATTTAAGAAAAATGAAGGAATTGGCAAATTAATTCTCTGGTTGAAGGCTTGAGAACAACATGTACTAGAACCTCGGAGATGACTGATCAGCTGGAGGTGGCATCATGCAGACACCTATAGTCAGATAATTTATAAAGACGTGTCTGTGTTTTATTGCATGAATCCTAGCAGGTTTCTACAAGCTAAATTAAAATTTGACAGCTGCTGTAGAGAGGTACAGAGGGTTTCCCTTGTTTTCCCCGTTACTGTGGAGCAATGAACTGCAATTTTAACTGCAAGTCTGACTTCCAGTGCCGGAAGCTTACAGCATTCCTTGTGAGTGATCAGGGATGGGGGTGGGAATAAGAGTTGGGAAATCGCTTCCTTCCCCTGCAGCAGATTGACATTACTCTCCTTTGCTGTTCATCTCACATGTAGGCACAGTCATTTTACTAGAGCTGAAGGGCTGTCTTTTAAACCTGTTCCCTTAAACGTGTGTTTTAACACTAACAATGAACGTATCTTATTTGGACCCATTTGGTCTGCTAAATATAGAATTGAAAGCATTTGATATACAGTATGTGTAGAAGTGCCAAAAATACCTGTTGATCCTGCCAGAAGTTCTGTGAGCTCCCAAGTTTATTTGCACTCTGCAGTGTATCACAATCTAGGTTATCATCCCTGCCCAATTCACTCCTGTAAACTACAGAAAATTCCCCTCTGTTTTGGAAATGTGTAGAGGGGGAGGTGTTCTGTAGTCCTACCCTATTTGTCTTAGACTGATATGGTACAGCGAGGAAGTGCATTTTTGGCAGGATCACCAAGTGAAAAAGAAAGGGACTGAAAACGAGAACTAATGTCGCCACCACATCTATGGACTGGCAAGCTGCAATATATTACATTTTTATTCTTTGTTTTAGATGCATGTTAAGGATAAAAGATGTGGCTTTTATAAAACATAATGTTGCATATTTTTTTTTAAACATCAGAATTGTATTCATACAGACTTGTAAAGTTATTAGTTTGCCCACTTTAAAGGATAAGTTCACCTTTTTTAAAAAAAAAAAAGTCGCATCTTTTTGCAGGTTGCAGATCTCGGGTGCAATGCATGGCACTCGCTGACTGTCGGTGTAAGCAGTCTACTCATACCTCATATGGGCAGGCTGCTACTGAATGCCGGATAGATCCATGGACTATACGAGTGCTCACCAGCACGCTCGCAGTCTATTGAGAACTACAAGCTGTCAGCCGAAAAGGCTTTCGGTACTTGTAATTAATTCAATCACAGAACTCTGTTAATAAATGATGCGGCCGTGTAGGTGAAGCCCTGCACGCCCGCAGTCTTATCAAATTTTGAGAGCAGGTGCGGTGAGAAGATCCCATCTGCTGTCATAGGGGGTGAGGGGATTGGGGGGAGAGCTGCAGGAGTGGGATCATGTTACATGTTCTACCCTAAAATGAAGTGTAACAGGTTCCCAAAGGTGAACTTGGCCTTTAATATTGTAATAACAGCTACTAAGATATGTGTAAACCACCGAAACAGGATGTCCTCTGAGCTGTGCTTCATTTTCAGACCCATTTGCCTAAATACCCCCTCATTAGAAACAAAAATACACAGGTTTGTAGTTTTTACTTTGCATTTTGTGGGTTGATTGGTCTTTTCTCCATAGCACCACTGATAACATTTCTGTGTGTAGTTTATGAAAATATTTAATAACCTGAAAGGTTTGCTGCGAATCTGAATTATTTCAACGAACATTTCTAAAAGGTAAAACTACATCTGAATCAAAGCAAATCATCTACTGATAGACCTGGCTTCAGGCCCACATTGTTGGACTAATTCTACATCTTGAGAGATGGCAACTAACAAGTGACATGACATGAAAAAAAAAAAAAACCTGTTCTAAGCAGGAGTAGGGTGACTGTACTTGACAAACATTATTAATTTTCTCTAAGTTCTTCAAAAGAACATGATACCCAGGTGCCCTTTTTTTTTTCCTAAGCAACATCGCACTGAGCAGTTTTTGTAGCAATTATCGTTCTCAGGGGAGTTTTTGTTCCGATTACACGTTCAGCTGCAGCATTCACAACAATCCTTTGGCAAGCTCTGAGGGCCAGGTGCACAAACCCCCACTGATAAAGGTTGAATTATACCCTTTTCTTTGCCTGACAGGTATATTTGCCTAATGATCACTTTAACTCTTTCTTGTGCACTGTGACTCATTGTACCCACCTGCAGCCAAGTCGCATACAGCCTGAAGGCTTTTTTTTTTTTTTTTTTATAAGGCTTTTATAAACAGTGATTTGGAGCTTTCCCAGCCATATTTTTTTTTCTTTTGTGCGTTTCATAACTTATACAGTAACCTTGTGTTTCCCAAGTCCTTGGGAAACTATGCTTTTGAGCTCTTCTCACAGAATCTCCAGAGAAATTACCAGTAGGGTTTATTTAAAATGTTTTAAATGAAGAAACCTGTGCTGCTGCCTGGAAGTGGCGCAAGCCAGCACTGTTAGTCCCCTTGCACACGGGTCTATCCCGTGTGTGCGTAATCCTGGCATTTTATTGTGCCCACGAAGCACAGGTGCAGCATCCAGGCCTAATGCCTGTAGCCTGAAATACGCTGCGGCTGGGCAGGAATGAACACTGTACTTTAGTGGTAGACATTTCAGGCTCTATGATTTCAGGGATGTATGCCAAGAACTCGGGTATTTTCAGTTTCTTGTATTCTAGAACCTGTAAGAATTTGACTACTTTTAGAAGTTAAAATGTAAGTGTTGCGCTGTTTCTCATGCCACTGCGATGATGTTTCCATCACATGTAGAATTAGATGCCAGAGCTTCGATGTAGACACACTGTCCCATGTGCCCAAGTCTATATTGTTTACAGGTTCTTGTTCCTCTGCCTGTACTTTAAAAGTCTTTAAAGTAACTGTTGTATCTGTGCCAACACTTTGGATGACCAACATTTCCTATAAAAACACACTACTCAATGCAAGTTTTATAGTAGAGGAATAGCTGTAATAATGGTAGGATAAAGGGATTGTGAAGCCTGTAGACACTGACCACCTCCCATGGATGTCAGGCATTGTGTCTGCATCAACTAATTTAAAAGCCATATTAGTAAGTTATAAGGACAGAATAGATGGGCAGTATTTATAAAGTTGCATAGCTGCGCTTATGCTATAAAGGGCAACTCCACTTTAAAAAATGGTCTCTTGGGAAGGTAAATCACAGACTGGTTTCTTACAACTCTCTGAAGCCCTTTCAAAGTTAAGTGCTGATGTAAGTCTGTTCTCCCTAGTATAAAAGAATTAGAATTTGTGGGTCCAGCTATGAGAGAGTACCTCAGTGGAGGAATTTTGTCATTAATAACTGATTTTCTGTTAATATAAACCTGAAAAAAATAACAAATATGTTCTACTTACCTGCTTTGTGCAACAGTTTTGCTCAGAACAGCCCCATCCTCCTCTTCTTGGTTCCCCCACTAGCACTCCTTGCTCCTACCCCCTGCTGGGTGCCTCCATAGTAAGCTGCTTGTTTGTGCTTGCTCCTGAGCCTCCTCTGTGTGTCTGTAAAACAGAGCTCGGCCCAAGCCCCCTAACATTCGGAGGATTTGTGGGATAAAGAGGAGACTGTAACATTTGCAGCAGAGTGAAGAGGAAAGTGGAGTCATCTATACAGTATACCTACCCGGGTTAAAAGGGAAAGGCAGTATTTGACCTATGCAATTTGGGTCATAAAAGGAGGTGAGAGTATATATGTATGTCTCTGGTGGAGGAGCACCTATAGGAATATATGTGGCTATAAACAATAAAGAGCACCTGTTTGTGAACAAATTATAAAGGCACTGATCAAGTACACATGGACTTTCAAGCTGTATTCAATGTATTCACCGTTGTTGCATAATCACATGCTCTGGATGCTTTCATTCATATGAGGAGGTATAGAGATACTGTATATGCCCGGCACTATTATATGACACATCTTTTGTGTGTGGAAACGCATCTAAGTGTCAGCAGCACTGGTATACACAGGAAATTGAGGAGTTATTTGTTGTGCTGAAATTTTATTTGTACACATTTTTAGGAGCCAATGGCTTTCTGAGCCATTGAGAAGGGAGAGACCCGGGAGAGCTGCTGTTCTCGTGCAATGCACTGGATCGCAATTGGGCTCAGGAAAGTATTATGGGGAGCTGCACACAGATTTTTTTTTTTTTTTTTTTTTTAACCTTCATGCATAGAATGCATGAAGGTAAGAAAACCTTCAGCCTTTAGAAGCACTTGAAGCTTGCTTGCATCTTGTTGCATGTACAGCAAAGTTTCAAGTCAATTGGGCAACTTTAGACCTGATATAAGTATAATTGTTCTGTGTATTGTGCAAGAATTAATCCAGGTTTGAAAACCAGCCATATGATGACCCACCCATGGTCAGATCTGACCTTTTAAATGTAAAAAAAAAAAAAAAAAAATAATACTGTAGAATACAATGTTTGCACAATTTTATTTTTAGTTTCCTAGTGACTTTTGCTCTGCAGCAGTTCTGCTTTCAAAAGTGGATGTAGAATATATATGGCTGAATTATTGGGACATTGCTTATTTTGTCCTCTTGGTTTAATCAACAGTTGGACTTGATTACGGATTTGTTGGGAACACCGTCACTTGAAGCAATGAGGACGGCTTGTGAAGGCGCCAAGGCACATATACTCAGGGGTCCTCATAAACAGGTAATACTGCCATCTGTATGATTGTACTGTAGAACTGAAAAT